TTTAACTAATTTTTTTTTTTATTTAAACCGCTCTTTCAAATCTAAAAGCCGTTATTTTTTTTTTTCCTTTTTTTTTTTATAGAAAAAACCCTGCTGAAAGTATTAAAGATAAATTTAAATAGTATAACTGATATAAGGATATAGGATCAAAATATAGTTTACTTATGTTGGTTATATAAGTTTTTTCCCCTTTAAAGGGTTTTTTCTATAAAAAAAAAAGGGTAATGATGGAATTGGTAGACATGAATAGCTTAGGACTATTTGATTTTTAATCTTATCCGTTCGAGTCGGATTTACCTTAAAATAATTGGTTTAATTATCGTTTTCATGATATATATGAATAAGTAAGAAATACTTCAATTAGATAAAAAAAAATATGAAGGCGTACTTGTTAGACTTACAGTTTACTATTAAATATCTAATAGGCAAGTAAATAAACAGGTACCCCTTTATAGTTACCTTGACTCGAATAAATAAAAAGTTATCATGTTAATTAGGAAATACAATAATAACAACTAATCTTTATCAATGTTTTCATTTAATTTATTGAATTGCGACGCTCCCAGGCCATGAGGTATGTATTTTCAAGACACTGCTAGTCCCCAAATGGAAGCATTAGTAGAACTACACGATAACATAATGTTTTACTTAGTAATTATACTTTTTGGTGTTGGCTGAATTTTAATTTCATTAATAAGAAATTATGTTAGAAATAAAATAAGTAACAAATATCTTAATCATGGTACACTTATAGAATTAATATGAACTATTACTCCCGCTTTAATCTTAATATTAATCGCATTTCCTTCATTCAAACTACTCTACCTAATGGATGAAGTAACAGACCCTTCGTTAACTGTATTCGTGGAAGGGCATCAATGATATTGAAGTTATCAATACCCTGATTTCCTTAGTGATGATAATGAAGAATTGGAATTTGATTCATACTTGGTTCCAGAATCAGATTTAGAAGAAGGAAGTTTTAGAATGTTAGAAGTTGATAATAGAGTTATGTTACCTGAGTTAACACATGTTAGATTTATAGTATCTTCTGGAGATGTTATACATTCTTATGCCTGTCCTTCTTTAGGTATTAAATGTGATGCATATCCCGGAAGACTTAACCAGGTATCTGTCTTCGTTAATAGAGAAGGATCTTTCTTTGGTCAATGTTCTGAAATATGTGGTATACTACACAGTTCTATGCCAATCGTAATTGAATCTCTTTCACTTGAAAAATTCTTATCATGATTACAAGAACAATAGTATTATTATATACAACTAAAGAGATATCTGGAGAAAAACATACTTGTTAAACTTATGGTTTATTGTGAAACATTGAATAAGGAAGAAACAGGTAAATAAACATACATCCTTTTTTATTCATTATTTTAGCTCAAAAAAAAAAAGTTATTGTGTTAATTAGGAAATACATTAATAACAACTAATCTTTATCAATGTTTTCATTTAATTTATTAAATTGCGATGCTCCTAGACCATGAGGTATGTATTTTCAAGACACTGCTAGTCCCCAAATGGAAGCATTAGTGGAATTACACGACAATATAATGTTTTACCTAGTAATTATACTTTTTGGAGTTGGCTGAATACTGGTTTCATTAATAAGAAATTACGTAAGAAATAAAATAAGTAATAAATACCTTAATCATGGTACACTTAATCCAAAAGCACATCAGTGTTATCCAAGTTATCAATATCCTGATTTGCTTAGTGATGATAATGAAGAATTTGATTTATATGAAATTTCTGAGCTTAGTCTGTATGCTGAAACTTCTCAAGTAGGCGATAGAATGTCAATAGGTAGTTTACTTAACACTACTACTAACACAGACATTAGGCCTACGCCTGTAGTAAATTTAGCATGAATAAAAATTTCTTCCAAAGAAATTTTTATTCATGATACATGTGATACTAGTGGTAATATGGTTATTCGTCTCAGGATGCGTGATAATATTGGAATAATAGAAACTTATAACATTTATGGAGTTGACTATACTGGTATTACATTTGGGAGTTCACATAGCGTCGGGGGGAATAATCACATACGTAAGTTTAGTATAAAGTTGGGTATACTAGGTGAGTTAAGGACTTCTCATAGGGTTACAAGTAATTTTTCCGACCTTGTTGTGAGTCAACGTAGCGCTCACGTCCATAGACGTTAACAGTAACTAATAAAAAAGTAACTGAAAAGAGTTACTAAAAAAGGGGATATAGTTTAATTGGTAAAACTGCGATTTTGCATATCGTTATTTTAGGATCGAGTCCTAATATCTCCATTGTAATGTTTAATGAATATGTTGTGGACTAATCGGTAAGTCATAAATTTTTGGTATTTACTATTGAGTGTTCGAATCACTCCAACATAAATTAGCAGATTTATAGTAAAAAGGTGAATATAGTTCAATAGGTAGAACAACTGTATGTGGAACAGTAAGTTTCCTGTTCAAGTCAGGATATTCACCCTTACTTATGTTATTACTAAACAAAACAATACAATACTACATATTTTAAAAGGTATATGTCAAAAAGTCCGGGTAGTTCAATTGGTTAGAACGTTAATTTCATGCATTAAGAATGAGAATTCAATTTTCTCCCCTGACTAATGTTGGTTTATGATTACAATATGCATGTAAACCAATAAAAGGGATTAGCTTAATTGGTAGAGCAACCGTTTTACACACGGAAGGTCAGGTGTTCGAATCACCTATTCCTTAAAAAATATATACAAAAACTTTTAAAGTAAATAATTAGGGTTTTACCCAAAAAAAAAAAATATGAATTTAATACATGATACAGGCAGCAAGAATTATTGGAACAGGATTAGCAACAACAGGTTTAATAGGAGCCGGAGTCGGAATTGGAGTAGTGTTTGGTGCTTTAATATTAG